ACTGCCTCCTGTTCTCCCCTGGTCCTCAAAAGAATGATTTCGGTCTGCAGATTTGAAAATTGTACCCCTGTCGCCTGCTCTCCAGTTGATATATTGCTCTCAAAGTTGATGGATTTTAAGCAGTCCCATTAATTTAAGCATGTTATTAAATTAATTCAGAAGGAATGCCAACCCGCACATGATTCACAGTCCCCCACACCAGTCACCCTGCAAAGTTGAATGAAGCTAGCCCTAAGCGTCTGTCCTGCAACCTTGGACAAGCAAGTAAAACATTATATTTTAAAAATATAGACATACACACGTATCCAGAAAGAAGTGACTGCTCTTCACCAAAGGTTGCTCTCACTCGCTCGCTAATGAGGCCTCGCCAACACTGTCAAAAACTCTCACGTTAACTTATTACCGTCATTTTTTCCATTAGGATATATTAAGAACCGGTTCTTTTAACTCTACCAGACGATACTGGCTGCCGAGGTTGCATTGGCTTTGTGCTAAGACTCCCGGAATTATCTGCGAGCTTCGCGAGGAAGGAGGAGGCTCTGAGTCGGAGGAGAGGGGGACCTTGGAGGAAGAGGTGAGCCTCGGCTGGGGCAAGGGGGGACGATCCTCACGTGGGGAGATATTTCTTGGGGGACGAGGTGAGCCTCGGGGGTGGTGAGGTGAGCCTCAAGGGAGAGGCGAGCCTCTGCAGAATTCGCCTGAATGGTGGGGATCCAGAGGGCCTCGGAGGCCTGGGTGGTGAGGATAGGAGGGTAGACGGGGTGAGGTAACCATCCAGTCCGAAGCCAACAGTCCCGCTCTCATCCTCCGCCGCTGTTTTGTGTTGTTGTGGTTGTCAGTGTTGGTGATGCGTTGTGTCCAGCTGGTGTGTGTGTGTGGGAGCACCCGGCAGATGAAGGGAGCACCCAGCAGGTGAAGGGAGCACCCGGCAGGTGAAGGGAGCACCCAGCAGGTGACGGGAGCACCCGGCAGGTGAAGGGAGCACCCGGCAGATGAAGGGAGCACCCAGCAGGTGAAGGGAGCACCCGGCAGGTGAAGGGAGCACCCAGCAGGTGACGGGAGCACCCGGCAGGTGAAGGGAGCACCCGGCAGGTGAAGGGAGCACCCAGCAGGTTGACGGAGCGCCAGAATAGTTTCCTGGGTACCACAGGGCTGACCGACTGTTTGTCTGGCGATGCCTGTGTTGTCTGTGGCCTAGCCAGGCTTTCAATGAACTAATCTCTGGCTTTAAGCCATTACTCACGACTGGGAGGATGGCCTGAGTGGGTGGTTCGTGCGGTGATGACCTCCGTCATCTAATTAAGAGTTCACATGTCGGCCATACAGCTAATTTGTTCAGATTACTTGAGGTCAACAAACCCAAGTTATATCTTGGGTTTGTTGACGAAATATAGCACTGAGTGTGGTTTATTTAAGATTTGTTATGTTAAGTTTACAATGAAGCCGAAGAGTGCCTCTCGGATCTACCCAGTGGGCGTGCTGCTCAGATGACCAGCATTTTCAATTTTCAATTTCTTTCTTTGTTATGCACCCCATACCCCTCCCGTGGGCGGTGGTGGGGTGGGTTACAGAGGCACATAATGGGTTCAGGAACTGAACCCCATAGTTCGTTTAGTTAAGCAAGTGACAACCTTTTGAAACCAGTTACACAATTGTTAATGTCACGCATGTACATTTACAGTATATACAATCATTTACACAAATACATATACATATCAATAATCTATTTATATCACAAGTGATTCAACAAGAGGGTCACAATAGTCACTATACAAGGCCACCATCTATCTGTTGTTCATGAGGAATTTTTCCAATTGGAATTTGAACTAAAGTAATGTTTTGGTCTATACGACTTCGGCGGGTAGGCGGTTCCATGAGTTTATAATCCCCATGGAAGTAAAAACATCTGTTTTCTGTCCTGAATTGTGGCTTGTTGCCTCTTGTATGTGTTACATTTGACATTTTAAAGAAGTGGTTTGGGTTAATATCCTCCAACTTGTGAAGTATTTTAAGTATCGATGAGCCTTGTCATGTCTGGTTTGTGGTGTTGTTAGTCCCGTGGCTCTCAACCGATCCTGGGAAGAGTTGACCTAGTCCCGAGATTATTTTGGTCGCTCTGTGTTGAACTCTCCAAGACAGATATGTCTTCTTGAATGTGAAGTCTCCATGCTTGGATACAGTATTCTAGATTGAACAATTAATTTGAATTAATTAACAGTCAATTTAAACAATTGACCATCAGAAAGCCTTTGACACAGCACCCCATAAAAGGCTGTTACAAAAGTTGGAGAAACAGACAGGAGTAAAAGGTACGGTGCTCCAGTGGATAAGGGAGTATCTAAGCAACAGGAAACAACGAGTAACTTACAGGTTAAAATACTTCCAAGTTTTTCACAGATTAAGGAGCAAATCCAGAAGAAAATACTCTCAACTATCAAAAGTCGCCAGAGAGCCAAAAGTAGCGGAAGTATCCACATATAAAGTATCCACTGCGATATGGTACGAACAAGCCACTGGGTACTACTCTTTCAAGCTTGGCAAAAAAGATATCCAGAGACATTGCAGTAGCCATACACACACTCAGACTTGGTTACAAGTGCTGCTGGGAGGTAATAAACCCAATAGTTAAAGAGTATCACATCTGTGGAACAGGAGCAGAGGCGCCACTATTGCACTACTTACTGGAATGTGAAGCTACTGAAGCCCTGAGCATCAAACTCTACATTAATCCAACGACAGCAGCTGCATTAGATGCACATTCCACAGCCACTACAATGGTTAGAAAAGCCGTTGAAGAATGGGACACACTAGTGAGCATTATGCATCTAAATTCGCCACCAAGATAATGTTATTAAAACCAGACTAAAACCAGTGAGCTAAAACAAAAGCGAAAAAGACACAGGGGGAAAAGGAGGAAACCCCACCTCCATTTAAAACTTTGACCCAAATATCACAGTAACAAGGTTATCGCGAATAACCGAACTATAGCACAGGCTTATACACCGTGCTACATGGACATTTCGTTCTGAGTAGCTAAATCTAAAACAACAACAACAGCAAGTAACTATGAGGTGGAAGACATCAGATTGGTGAGATGTCACCAGCGGAGTCTCGCAGGGCTCTGTACTTGGACCCATCCTGTTTGTGATATATGTAAACGACCTTCCAGAGGGTGTAGACTCGTTCCTCTCAGTGTTTGCTGATGATGCAAAAAAATATGAGAAGAATCAAGACAGATGAAAATAGACGGACAACAGGACGATCTGGACAAACTGGAGGCATGGTCTAAAAAATGTCTCAACTCAGACAACTCAGTTCAACTCAGGAAAGTGTAAAGTAATGGAATTAGGCGAAAGGAGCAGACGGCTGAACACAAGGTACCATGCATCTGGGAGGTGATATCCTGCAAGAGTTAAATAGACAGAAAGATCTCTGGGGGTTGATATCACACCGAACCTGTCCCCAGAAGCCCTCATCAAAAGTACCTACCTTACCCCCTAAATGTTAACCCATGTCTTGCTATTTTAAACAATGCTGTTTGTTGACCAACTTGTACAATTGCTGATTTCTGCCATGTTCCCCCCCCCCTTTTTTTAATTCCTTTTTTCAACACAATTTATACTTTAATCCCAATTACTATTAAGTTTTAGTCTAAGGGGTTTTTCCCCCACACCTTGCCCGAAACGCTATGTGTATTAGTGACTTTAGGTATTGTATGTACTAACTCTATCTATAAATCCAACATTATGTTTGTAACTCGTCCTCTATGTATGTACTTTTCCTGAATAATTTTTTTAATTTAATATAATTTAATTTAATTTAATTTAATTTAATTTAATTTAATTTAATTTAATTTAATTTAATTTAATTTAATATCATCAGCGGGATATGCTAGATTGGCCAACATAAGAACTGCCTTTAGAAACTTGTGTAAAGAAGCGTTCAGAACCTTGTATACCACTTATGTCAGACCAATCCTGGAGTATGCAGCTCCAGCCTGGACGCCATACCTATTTAAACACAAGACAAAGTTAGAGAAGATTCAGAGGTATGTCACCAGACTAGTCTCAGAACCGAGGCATGGGCTACAAGGAAAGGCTACTTGAGTTAAACTTCACGTCCCTGGAAAACAGAAGAGTAAGGAGAGACATGATAATTACCTACAAAATTCTCAGAGAATTCACAGGGTAGACAAAGACAAACTGTTTAACACGGGTGGAACACGAACAAGGAGACACTAGTGGAAACTTAGTACCCAGATGAGCCACAGAGACATTAGAAATATCCTCTTCACAACTTCCTGGTATCGGGCAGCCGGGGCGCATCCGATCCCTCTATCGTCGTCATAACTTATTTTGTAGTTTTGTAATATTTTTCTTGATGCTTATTAATTATGTCCGAGAAACTGTATGCATATTTTTCTGTACTTAATAATTGTGACACATATTACACGCCAAAATAACATGTTATCTGCCCGAAACGCTCTGCATGCTAGTATAAATAAATAAATAAATGAAATAAATGTTTATTCAGGTAAAGTACATACATACAAGAGATTTTTACCAAAATTGCTAGGTTTATAGATGGTACATACAGTGCCTAAAGCCACTATTACGCAAAGCGTTTCGGGCAGAGACTATTTCTTTAAATAGTCATAAATAGAGACTACTTCTTTAAATAGTGGCTTTACAAGAATGTAAAACTTCAAGTCTCTGTACTCTCATGAACCCAATGTATCTTCTTGTATATAAATAAATACATATATGTTGGTGGAAATATCCCCACAGTCCCCCCCGCAGTCTCTAACATGAACACATTCTCTATGGAATTTACCTACTTAAAATTATCTGTTAGATTAAGGACCTGCCAAAAACGCTGCGCGTACTAGTGGCTTTACAAGAGTGCAATTACTGTACTATGCTATGTATTCTCACAAACCCAATGTACCTTCTTGTATATAAATAAATAAATAAATAAATAAACTATGGCACCGTCGTGGCCGCTGACCGGAGGTGGGTGACGGAGTGTTACCGACCTCACCACAATGGCAGAGCTGCTCCTCGACTCCGATATAAGAATATGGGTATTTTTCCCCATAGTTCTGATCACATTCCTGTGCGGGATTTTAAGGCATTATGTCAGTGTACTGATCTCAACGCAGAAGAAGGTGGATCTTACACAGCTCCAGGATAGGTGAGTTACTGCTGGACGGTAGATTGACGCGCCTCGACCGTCGAAGTGGTTGGGCACCATTCCTATAATATTTTATTTACAGGAAGCCTGTATATGTATGTGCTTTAGGCTTGTATTGAGGTCCGCCCAAGATGGCACTACGGACCCTTATGTGCAAGAATGTAAGTGGCCAAACTCTCAAGTACCTGTTGACCGCTAGGTGAACAGAGGCATTAGGTGAGAGGGAAAGGTGCCTAATGTTTTCTTACCGGCCTGGGAATTGAACCTGGGGTCCCCAAATGTGGGTTGAGACTTAAGTTCTATTTCTGATTTGTCTATATGTAGACAAATCAAGCTGACCGGGAGCCGAGCGGACAGCACGCTGGACTTGTGATCCTGTGGTCCTGGGTTCGATCCCAGGCGCCGGTGAGAAACAATGGGCAGAGTTTCTTTCACCCTTTCACCTGTTACCTAGCAGTAAAATAGGTACCTGGGTGTTAGTCAGCTGTCACAGGCTGCTTCCTGGGGGTGGAGGCCTGGTCGAGGACTGGGCCGCAGGGACACTAAAGCCCCAAAATCATCTCAAGATGTATATCAGTAGGCTAGGATATATTAGGTTAGGCTGTGTTAGTTTAGGGTAGGTTAGGTAGGTTTTAAGGTCTTGCCTAATTAACCTGCTCCTATATATGCTGTGATGTATCAATTAGGAAAGGGTACATTCAAATTATACAGAGGCGTTTTGATGGTGTGTTTATAAATTGTCAAAACCGTGCATATTGTTTGGTTTGCTTGTGTTAGGTTGGGATAAGTTGGATTAGGGTAGCTAAGGTTGGGAAAAGGTTAGGTTTTAAAATTTGTTGCCAAGCTGTCTTGGATATGATGTAAAAATTTCCTGTTGTTACAGACAGGAAATTTGCACTCCAATTTATTGACATTCCTGGTAGGTCAACTACTGACCATTCCCAGGGTACAGCCCACAACAGTTGCCTGATTCCTGGGTACATATTTACTACTAGGTAAACAGTCATAAGGTGAAAGGAAACATCACCCAAAAACTTCTGTTCTTCGCAGGCGATGAGTCACAGTAACGTGGCTTAAGTATGTTGACCAGACCACACACACGACCACGTTTCGGTCCAGGACGGACCGAAACGTCGTCGTCCCTTCACCTTCTAGTGTGTGGTCTGGACAACAATCAACTTCTGTTCTTTGACAGGATATAAAAGAATTCTTACATTCTTGTTAAGCCATTAGTACGCATAGCATTTTGGGCAGGTCCTTAATCCTAATTTTTTTCCCAGAATACAACCTGCCAAATTGTTTAATAACCAGGTACCCATTCACTGTTTCTTGAACAGAGGCTACAGTTAAGGATTGGCACCCGGTCAATCCTCCCTGGCCAGGATACGAACCCAGGCCCAAGAGCTCGCGAAGCAATGAGCGAGTGTTTCACCGTTATGCCACGGGGACTGCTAGGATATACTGTAACCTGAAACACCGATGGTTGTGACCCGATGATGTAGACTATTGTGCTACAGACCCTAGGTTGTGATCCAGTGATGTAGACTACTGTGCTAAATCCATTAGGATGTGTTGCACCATTTGCAATTTAATATAATGTATACAGTTTTTTCTTGTTTTACTCTTGGTGCCTTCTTTTGATAATTACTTCTTGTATTAGTGAATGTCGTAGGTTATACCACATTGTTTCATGAAGGTAAAGGCTAGTTTAGATTAGTAGGCTGTGATTTTTTTTATATATATAAGAAATTACAATGAGATGTTGACTTCGTTCTAAACTCACATCTGGGGAATCCCAAGTTAAATTCCCAGGCGGAATTGAAATGGTTGGATATGTTGCCTTTCACCTAATGTCTCTGTTCATCTAGCAGCAAATAGGTACCAGGAGTTAGGCATCTGTTGTGGGAATTTAAAAAACTGTATTCTTGCTAAGCCACTAACACACACAGCAACTGAAAACAAAAGTAAAATCTTTCGCATGCAGTACAGTATAATAATAACAGTGATAATACAGTAATAATTATTACGTGCATACAAAGAACATAAGATGAAGGGATAATTGTAGGTACAGGGAGTTACACATAAAAATGAAGCCAACACTATGCAAAATATTTTGACTAAAACTTTAAATAACTATTTATCAAAATTATTTTAAGGTATAAACAAATACTAAAGAGAAGTAAGCTAACATATATGAGTGTTCAAGAAATATAACAACTGATATACAAAATAAAGATGATGCTTGATGACAGGCATAGACTTACATTATGGAATGTGTCGTTCTAGCAACAAGAAAACCAGCTGGGTTGTTCTCAGTGATTGTCAGCTACAATCACTAGTTATTTTCATAGGATTCAATTTTCTGTTCCACATCAGGGGTCCACAGTGGTTCTTGTGTGTGGAGTGGCATGCCTCTCCACACTGCAGTATCACTCCACATTGTCATGTCATTCCACACTCCCATGATATTCTTTTTCTTCACTCTCACTTTGTCATTCTTGTCTGAACTATGAATTTGTGATCACTGCCAGACAAATTTTGCTTTTCATCACTGGAAGTCCAGTGCATACAAACTACAATTAATTTTGGTGTTGCTTGTGGGTGTGCAGTGTCCTGTAGGGGTGCATCAGCCTTGGTAGCTGCCTAGTTGGCATATCCAGAGCACATTCAATTTATTTTTTCAAGAGGGCTGATGACTGCTATAGCCCTCAGTAAGTGAATGATATCGCTATAAAAATGGTGGGATTTGTTCATATTACTGGGTGGCCCAAGTTAGGACCAGGTGATAGAGCACACCAGCTAATTGCTTGATAACAATTGGAGCAATTTAAGGGTTAAGTAAGCAAATTCTGTAACTGTTAGTTTTAATTTTATTTGATGAAACAGATGATAGGTCAAAGTTTGATCACTATTGGTTAATAAATTTGATTTAAACCTTTAATAATTACTGTAATTGTGATCAATTGTTTTTAATGTTTAAAAGTGTAACTCATCAATGTCCTTTGTTTACAGCCAAGCCATGATTCGAGCACGGATGTTGCGCGAGAATGGGAAATACATACCAGAACAATCTTTCCTGATGCGTCGACATTTCTTCAATAATGACGAATCAGGTACATATTGTACATACACAATGTAAGATAGTTAATATATCAAAGTTAGGGAATATGTAAAAAATACTGTATGACTTAATACTTTTTCTATACTGTTTATGGTTTTACTGCTTGAACTGCTAATTGGGACTGAATCTATTTAATTTTACCAAGAAATCCAGTCTACTAAGAGTTTTTGCCATTTTTTTACTAATAAATATTCTGATCCCAGATGATAGAACACATCTTTGCACATAAACAACAAAATTATATATGCAAAATGCATTTTCAATATACTTGAAGATTAAATAATGAAAAGAAACATTAATTTTTTTCCCAACCTTGAACCATTGTCACTAGTTAACACTCCAAGGCTTGCTCACTTTTCTCAATCTATTTTGCATTTTTCCTCATATTAAAATGCTCCTTTTCCTTCCTAGATAAGCCTGATTACTGCTGCTGTTGGTAGACATTTTTTCAACAGACAAAAACAATAACTAATGGAAAAATGGTAATACTGAATACAGAGATCATTCTGCCACATGATCACGGGAAAATAGCACCTACCCAGGTCATGATCAGTCGCAAGAGGTCTATGTACATGATAGAAAGTTACATAAACTTCATTATACAATTTGTTATAAATGTTCAAATACAGTGGTACCTTGGTTTTCTAATTTAATCCGTTCCCAGAGACAACTGGTAAACCGAAAATTCGCAAACCGAAATGAATTTTCCCATTAGAAATAATGTAAATTGAATTAATCCATTCCACACTTCCAAAAATATTTACTTCAAAATACATTTCATACATAATACACACAAATATTTTGTACTGTAGTGTGTAAGTCCCCTTCCATTATAAAATCAGACAGTGATGACTTCTTTGGGGTACTCTTCTCTCCTATGTTTTGCCTGCACACCACTAGGACCTGGTTGAGGCTCACTGCTTGTTTCCTCGATAAAAAGCCAAACGTGAATATACTCTGGCTTCTTGTCCCCCGACACAGTGAATTAATTATTATTTGAATTACTTGTTAATATAAAAAGGAGATGCTTTGAATGGACTAATAGGCCTTATGCAGTTTCTTGTTTTCTTATGTTCTTATGTTTCTATGTTATAGTGGCAGAATAACCTGCTCAAACAAGAGCTTATGCTATTAGTTTAACTTTTTGTATTAATTTTCAGGGTATCTCAAGACAGTAAAGCGTGCATCAGCCCCTCAACCTATGACTGACCCTAATATGATGGTAGAAATGCTGAAAGGTCAATTGACCAATATGCTTCCCATGATTGCAATTGGAGGCTGGATCAACTGGACTTTCTCAGGATTTGTTACAAGTATGATTCATAAAATTTTAATTGAATTGATTGGCCTTGTGATTTTTAAGTACAGTATTTAACCCTTACACTTACCACATTGTCACAGGCTGATCTTGCACAGCGCTCAGATCACCTGGAGAGGAATTTGCACAATCCGAGTTGTTAAAAAGTCATAGCAAGTGTTTGGTTGCATTTTCCTTTTTAATGGCTTTGGCACTTGTCCATCATATTAGAAAAAATACTAAATGCACAGATGCATACAATATCCAGTGTGCCTTACAGCTCAGTGATTGCGCAATGCGCTATACTATGCGACCATTTATGCTATGCAACATTACCAAGAATTTGAAGGAGCTGGAACATGTTAGTATGGAAGAGGAATATATTCTAAGTTGTGTTATGCTTGAATGTTTGGCATAACAAAGATAGTCTTCTTCTCTGGGCCCCTCTTCTTTTGTCAAATTGATACCTCTGATTTTTCCAGATAACTGAAAATTTAGTTTATTCCATAAGGTAGCTAGAGATAATTATTTGGCTATTTTGTTTAATTTGGTATTTATTTTAACGTGTTACATGTTAAAATTGCTGTATGTTTTACAGCAATTTTAATGTAAACAAATGGTGTTTTAATATCAATACACTAACGTATATGTAGGGTACAATTAAATTTTTGTGTTTAGAATAAATAAGTGTCCTCCATTACTGAATTATGAATAGTGGGAGTAAAACCCTGCCTTTAACTAGACATGCTCTGGTTAATGGGATTGAAGAACACTCATATTCCTATGTCCAGATAAAGAATCGAGAAAATGGGTCTTGGAGTAGTGGGGTGTTTTTTCTTTCTTTTTACTGCATAGAGAACAGGGCACAGAGATAAACACGGAAGAACTAATTATACTGTAGCTAGAAATGCGAGTATTCAAGAGTTGGGAATCATGTAGAAAAGTAGTTTGAAATAGCAGCTAAAGTGAAGTACCAGCCCAAGCTAAAGTATTCACATTTGGAAGAAATCAGCTATTAAAGACCATGCAGTCAATCTAAAAAGAGAAAGGACAGTCCTAATAGAAAATGAGGGAAGTGTGTGTGTAAGGAGTGGAAACTGAAGATGGTAAATAACAAATGATCAGAAACAACATTGGACGGTTTAGAAGTCACTGATGGGGAGGTTAAGACACCTAGAGGAATAAAGGGAATGGATATAAAATCATAAACTACAGACCTGTATCACTAACATGTATTTTGTGCAAAGCACTGGTGAAAATAATAAAGAAGACAGTGGTTGAGCTCCTGAAGAACACAAACTTTGAAACAAAAACAAAATGTATTTTCAATTGGAAAGTCATTCATCGCTAATTTGATAGTTCTGCAATTAGACACCAAGATAAGACAGGAAACAGATAGCTGGGAAGACTGTTTTTTTTCTAGATTGCCTAAATATATTTTATACTATTCATCACAAAAAACTGGTGTACAGTATTAGATGGAGAGGCAAATTGTGGTAACGATAGACATGAAACTGAATGAGAATATCTGTTACATTAAACAAAGGATTACAGGCACCATATATCAAGCTACAGAAATGCAGCAAGCATACTCCCTCAAGGATATGTTCTGGGCACATTGCTGTTTCTAATCTACACGAATTATCTGCAAGAGGTGGGGGTATGTTTCAGTATACTGTATTAGTGTTTGCAGATGGCAAGGGAACATTGGTGGAAGCCCTGTATTTAAAGAATAAGTCATGAAAGCACCACCATTTACTTCAAGAGCAGATATGACCTAAGAACTTGAACATCAGGAAAGTTTTAAAACGCATCTGTTATAAAAAGGGCATTAATAGCTAAACCTCACACCCCTGTAGTCACTGTTAGATACACACTGTTTGGTAAAAACAGCACTGATACCACCACCTTCACCGAATCTCCTTTTTCCTCCTGCATCATACTTGTCTGTATTCATTACAGCATTCTGTAATCACCACACCCTCTGTACTCATTACACTACACTGTTCAGTATCTTGAAATGTGCTAGCAAAAGGATACCATTCTTGATCGCGAATTCCTTCATTTGCCTCTACTTGCACCTGAATTATCACTGCTACCACCATCTGGACCTTTATTATCTCCTCCACCTGTACCTTCTACTCCACTACCATATGCACCAACGTCTTCCTTCACCAGCCCCACACTTTCGAAAGCTTCATCATCACCAGTTCCACTGCCACCACCTTGATCGTCCTTCACCACCTTGATCTTCCTCCTTCACCAGCACTATAATATACCACCTCACCTACAAGCACAACCACTATCACCCCATTTTCATAAGTCACTCTGCTCATTACACCTGTAGCGAGTAGATTATCCCAATAATATACTCGCTCCAAATGCATTGTTAATATTCCTGTCAACCTTTGGAGATGAATGAGGCGAGGCGTTGCCCGGGCAACACGGTGAGGTGTTGCCCGAGCATATAAGCAGCAGAATAGCAAACATTAACCACAGTCTACTTTCAAGTGTGGTCAAGTGTCTAGAGCAGACACTTGCGAGATACTGTACCGACGCTCAGTGCGCTCAACTCACACCAAAGTATCACCTGTGTACTTCTGTATATTCGACCAAATATATATATAGTATCTTAGTGTCTGTGTTTATTGTCACCATACTTTACGTAACAATAGAACCGTTACACACCTCTCCATACACATTTCACAAGCCTGTGCCCATCACGGCAGCCTGTACTCATTACACTTGATGAACTTGTTGGACTGCCTGTACTCATCATCATCATGCCTTGTAGTCATTGAGCCCCACTGTACTTATGGCACTATCATATTCTTATCGTGAGACGTTTTCCCAGGATTCCTATCTCGGTCATCCTCATGCAATCGGAACATGCTTACCTTTCATTAATGTATTGTCAATTTACATATGTAGCAATGCAACTGTTATATAATGTACTTTGAATTGATTTAGCCAATGCAGTATTTGAACGCACAAATAGTGTAGCTATGCAGTTCTTAAATTCTTAGTTAATGTATTCAAATATTGGGTATCACTAAATCGCATAAACAAAATTGACAATAGTGTGATTAAATACTCCAATAATACTTACTTTGTTTACAGCTAAGGTGCCCTTCCCACTGACACTGAGATTCAAGCCCATGTTGCAGCGTGGTATTGAACTCGTTTCCTTAGATGCCTCTTGGGTATCGTCTGCATCTTGGTATTTCCTCAATGTATTTGGTCTGCGGTCCATTTACACCCTTGTACTCGGAGAAAATAATGGTACGTAATTGACGTTTTTATATTTTTGTTTATATGGCAATGAGGCCACTTGTACTGGCAGTACAGTATACCAATCGACCTCGGTCACTCGCGGATGCACAGCCAGCTTGTTCTCTATTTGCCACTCCATTAAAATGCATCTTTTTGCCTTACCAGAAATGTACAAACCCAAACAACTCACCTCACCTATCGAGGCTGATGTTCAGAAAAGTCAATATTGCAAGTTTTAATTTTTTAATGTCACATTTTTAATGAATTGGTCAATTCCATAAAAAAGTGATACATATTAGACAAGAGAGCAGGTTGGCACAGCAAGGATATAAAGGGGTGCACCTTTATATTCCAAGGTCAAGCTCATAATATAAAGACAGTGAATGAGTGTGTGAGGAAGGGAGCAAGGAATTAAGTGTGAGTGTTCTGTGTGTCGGGTTGAGTGTGTGAGGAGGTAGAGGTGGGTGGTCAAGAGTGTGAGGAGGCAGAGAGGGGGGGGGGTCGAGCATGGCGTAAAGCATAGAGTAAAAACTAAAAGGAACACAGCTAAAGGATTTCACTTTGTTAAGAGTGAATATATTTTTTAAATAACAACTAAGGAGAATAACTTCTTATTTACATGAAGAAGCAAGTGGTCCTGCTGTGGATGTGTTGCTGTGATGGTGATGGCTCTGTGGAACTGCAATACAGTATGCATTCAATATTGACTGAGGTCCATGATATTGAACCATGTGTAAGTCACATGGGTAAAAAGAGGTCTCTTTTGGAATAGTTTTATTCTGCATTTCATATTTTTCTACTTTATTCCTCCTCATTCTATAAAAGTGGAAACAGAATAGTGATGACATTTATCATTAAATGGCTATGCTCACATAGGAGCTTCATGAGCTCCTACAGAATTGGGGGTTTGTGTTCCTTTGGTCTAAGTGGTAGTTTTCTTCATTTGCAGTCTTCATTTCTAGCTAAGAATGAGACTGCTGGTTTCCAGAGGGATTCTTTGGTACATAGGGGTGATGCTTTCTTGTGGCTCTGATGTCCCTGGTTCCTTGTTCCAGGACATGTTTTTCAGATCATCCGCAGTGTCAAGTTTAGCTCAGCCTAAGGTCTATCCTCAGGCTGATGATGATTTTACGTTTATGACTGTCTGGTTTGTTATCCGATATGTCTTGGGCTGATATTCAGGTTGGGGGATTATGGCGGTCCAACAGGGTGCTTGTTGCTCGTTACCTGGTCAGTGTATTGAAAATGCACAAGGTTTGTGTTGCATTGGTAGTGACCCATCACTGATTTTCCCTCCTGCAGGGTTATGGGCTTCTGCTCTCCTCCACTTCTGGCGAGTTCCCCCTTTGTATTTTGTTCTGTAGTTAGAAATCCAGTATTAAACATAAGGAAGTGCATTTTTTCTGGTGGATCTTTGGTGGTTTTCTGGATCCTCCTTTCCTCATATAAAGGCATTGGTTTTGTCTTTCCTGGCTCAATGACTGATGAGTTGACTGAACTGAGCCAGTAACTGGGGGTGCTGCCACCAGGTGGTGGGCAGCTGCTACTAAGAGGGTGAACCACCGAGTGCATCATTTACTATTCCATTTTTTATTTTTTGTATTTTTACCTCTGCTGTTGTCTGTTTTGTTTTGCTCTACATTTTCAGTGGCCTTTCTCAGTCTGAGTGATCTAGTATCCTCAGTTCACTCCCCCCCCCCCCTTCCGTGTCTCAACAGAGGGAGCCCAGGTTTTGCTATAAAGTCGTCAGTAGACTCGCAATGACTCGCAAGGGTCGGGTGTGATTCAGATTGGGTGGAGTTATCCAGGTTGCTAGCACCAGGAAGCCACAGGGGACCCACTAGAAAGAAACCTTTAATTGGTCGATGGTGCTTTTTTAATGTTTCAGAAATTATATACTGTATATTGTAATAGATAATTTATATTTTATCTTTTATCTTTACAGCTGCTGACCAAGCTCGCATCATGGAAGAACAGATGTCTGGTGCAGCCATGGCTATGCCACAGGACCCCAAGGCAGCTTTCAAAGCAGAATGGGAAGCTTTGGAGATTGCCGAACACAAGTGGGCTCTCAAAGATGTTGAATCCGATCTTTTACAGAAGGCTGAGGCGGATTGGATGTTTAATGCTCAGTCTTATGCAAATACCACCTAATGGAAATTAATTGAATGATTCAAAATAAAATGTTAATGTGATGGAGGTTAAGACGATAATTGTTGATATGATTTTACTGACAATCTTTTTTCAAAATATAAACAATTACCTGTATTCATATCAAGAGCTCTTTGTGTTGGCCGAGGAAAAATAAAATGCCGTCTTTACTTAAAATGTGAATCCACAGTAAGGGTGAATCAGGAAATGTGTACGAAGTGATGAATAGATGAATGTAAACTAGAAGATTAAGATAGTAGGAGTACAGGAATGAAGAGCAATTTAATAAAAGAGAATGTTTTTGTATTTTATGGTTATTGCTAACTTGATAATGTTTGGTGAAGTTTTTCATTATGAATGTAGCTCAACCAAATACTTTCATGTTGGAAAAGGTAAGCATCTCGTGGTTTATTACATTCATTAATCGGTAAAAATATTTCTACTATCTAATAGACAATACCTGATGCAGTATATGAAAAGCTGTAATATATGGCCTACAATTTATGCAATGGTTACTCTGAGTCTTTTAATTTTGCACTTATGAATATCTAAATTTTCATGTTAATAAAATGTGGATATTAATTAAAAATGGGGGTCTAGATAACCCCCACCCAAGAGGCCATTGCTTCAGATGTTTGAGGTTTTTATTACCAATAGATTGTTAATGTCTTTTCTTAATCATGGTGATAAAATTTCAAATGTTTAATGTAAATTTAAATGTGTGTATGTACCTGTATATTCAACATAAAGTCCTAAAAGATTCAAAGGTGACATTTTTCTGAACTTTGAATTACATCTTGTCTTTAATTCCTGAATTTACTTTGCATGAAGTTTTATTACAAGGACCCCCTCCCTATCCGGCCCGTTGTCGCCGTGAGGGGGCTTGGTGGGCGGCAGTTTGTATATTTGCAGTTTGAATTTACGACTTTTTATACCGAAAATATGCCAATTAATGGAAACGGCGATACGATACAGTCACATTTGCCCCCCCTTTCCTGCAATTTTCTAAATATCGCATATCTTATTTATTTATTTGTATATATACAAGAAGGTACATTGGGGTTGTGAGGATACATAGCATAGTAATTACATTCTTGTAAAGCCACTAGTACGCGCAGTGTTTTGGGCAGATCCTTAATCTAAGACAATTTTAAGTAGGTAAATACTTGCAAAATTTATAAAAATGATAACAGTTACATATCAAGAAAAAAAATAATAAAAGACGAGTGAAAAATTGTAGGTATATTAAAGCACATAGGTAGCACAGATTGATTGCAATGACAGCTTGAATGGTAGTTTAACAAAAAATGGTAGGCACAATACAGCATATGGCTAGCACATAAAAGAAGACAGCAATGAACACAATGACAAAGTTGTTTCGATTAAGTACATAAAGATTGGGAGATTGGCTGGCACTAGATACAGAGCAAATTTAAAGCTCAGTGTAGGAAACTACGAAGATGAAATTAGGTACTTTTTGTTTTTGTTTTTAAATGAGGCAAAAGTTTGACAGCTTTTCAATTCACTAGGGAGTGAGTTCCATAGACTACCTTACCTTGAGGTTACCTTGAGGTGCTTCCGGGGCTTAGCGTCCCCGCGGCCCAGTCGTCGACCAGGGCTCCTGGTTGCCGGACTGATCAACCAGGCTGTTGGACGCGGCTGCTCGCAGCCTGACGTATGAGTCACAGCCTGGTTGATCAGGTATCCTTTGGAGGTGCTTATCCAGTTCTCTCTTGTACACTGTGAGGGGTCGGCCAGTTATGCCCCTTATGTGTAGTGGAAGCGTGTTGAACAGTCTCGGACCTCTGATGTTGATAGAGTTCTCTCTCAGAGTACCAGTTGCACCTCTGTTTTTCAACGGGGGTATTCTGCACATCCTGCCATGTCTTCTGGTCTCATGTGATGTTATTTCTGTGTGCAGGTTTGGAACCAGCCCCTCTAATATTTTCCACGTGTAAATTATTATGTACCTCTCCCGCCTGCACTCAAGGGAGTACAGTTTTAGGCTCTTTAGTCGGTCCCAATAGTTTAGATGTTTTACTGAGTGGATTCTAGCAGTAAAGGATCTCTGCACGCTCTCCAGGTCAGCAATTTCTCCAGTTTTGAAAGGTGCTGTCATTGTGCAGCAGTACTCCACTCTAGAGAGCACAAGCGTTTTGAAAAGTATCATCATCGGTATAGCATCTCTAGTGTGAAAAGTTCTTGTTATCCAACCTGTCATTTTTCTTGCAGTTGTGACGGCTACTTTATTGTGTTTTTTAAAGGTAAGGTCTTCCGACATGAGTACACCCAGATCCTTTACATTGCCTTTTCGTTCTATGTTATGATTTGCCTGAGTTTTGTACGTGGTTTCCGTTTTTATATTTTCATTTTTTCCATAGCGCATGAGCTGGAACTTATCTTCGTTAAACACCATATTATTTTCTGTAGCCCATAGAAAGACCTGATCTACATCTGACTGGAGGTTCGCCGTGTCCTCTATGTTGCCTACTCTCATGAAGATCCTAGTGTCATCTGCAAAGGATGATACAGTGCTATAGGTTGTGTTCTTGTCTATGTCCGAAATGAGGATGAGAAAAAGTACTGGAGCAAGCACAGTACCCTGGGGGACTGAGCTCTTCACGGTTGATGGGCTGGATTTTATTTTGTTGACTATTACACATTGGGTTCTGTTGGTCAGGAAATTGTAGACTAGGTCCCTTAATTTGCACAGTGTTTACACAGATTAAGTTTGCCCTTGGGGATATCAAAGATATATTTATTTCTGGTGTGGTGATAATGGGTCCTATTACATCTGTCCAGGGAGAATTTCAGAGCATGGTTTGCATTTAAGAACAGGGTTTTGTAAATGTAGTTGATCATCTGACATCTGACTCATGAGAGTTTTTTTCGAACTGAATTCTGACTGCACCTATTTGCAGTAAATCACGATTTTTTATCGAAAATATGCCAGTTAGTGAAAACAGCAATGAGTCACATTTTGCCCAAACCTCCCTACAGTTTTCAAAATATCGGAAATACGCAAATCTAACTCATGAGCGTTGTTTGTGAGCTGAATTCTGATTCAAGGCACATATTTGGAGTTTTGAAAATATGCCAATTAGGTGAAACGGCCAATGAGTCACATTGTGCCCAAACCATCCTACAGTTTTCAAAATATCAGATATATAACGCAAATTTGACTCATGAGCGTTATTTTTGAGCCGAATTCTGGCTCATTGCACACATTTGGAGTTGCAAATTACAACTTGTTAAAGCGAAAATATGTCAATTAATGAAAACGGCGATGGGTCAAATTTTACCCAAACCCTCCTACAGTTTTCAAAATATCGAAAATATCGAAAGTCTGACACAGGAGCGTTATTTTTGAGCCGAATTCTGGCTCACTGCACATATTTGGAGTTGCAAATTAGGACTTGTTATAGCGAAAGTATGTTGTGTTGATTTAGGGGCGACGACGATCGTGGGATCGGATGCGCCCAGTATAGCGAAAGTATGGCAAATTAGTGAAAACTGCGATGGGTCAAATTTTACCCAAACCCCTCTACAGTTTTCAAAATATCGGAAATATCGGAAATCTGACTCATGAGCATTATTTTTTAGCCGAATTCTGGGTCACTGCACATATTTGGAGTTGCAAATTATGATCTGTTATACCGAAATATAGCCAATTATTGAAAACGGCGCTGGGTCAAATTTTACCCAAACCTCCCTAAAGTTTTCAAAATACGGAAATATGACTCATGAACGTTATTTTAAAGCTGAATTCTAGCTCACTGCACACACTTGGAGTTTGAAATTACGAATTTTTATACCGAAAATACATATGCCAATTAGTGTATATGCCAACAGAGTTACCAAGAAGTTTGTTTTCGGGTAAACAAATGCCGATGGTATCTCCAACAAAGTGAATGAGCCATTTAATGTAAACCTTTAAAATGGAGTTTAATGCCTGGAATGTTAGTTTTAACCCTATAGGATTGGGTTGGGACTGGCCTAATATCAGTGTAGCGAGTTAACATTATATTCGCTCCAATCATCTCATTACCTTAATGACAAACTCATTAGCACTAATCCTTTCCCTAATTACAGGTAATAAGAGATTGGAGCGAGTATAATGTTAACTTCTACGTAACATCAGCAAACGGGAGACATCTCCCGTCACGCAGGGTGCAGTCGCACCTCCACAGTACAGATTGATGAAGATTAAGCCACCCAAAAGGTGGCACGGGCATGAATAGCCCGTAAGTGATGGCCCTTTTGAGCCATTACCAGTATCAAGAGCTGATACTGGAGATCTGTGGAGGTCCGCAGTACAGATCTCCAGTATCATCTATTGATACTGATAATGTCTCAAAAGGGCCACCACTTACGGGCTATTCATGCCCGTACCACCTCTTGGGTGGCTTAATCTTTATCAATCAATCTTTATCAGTCAACATCAGCAACAAATGTACTCCCTAATATATTGCATAACGATCCCCTAATTACTTCTAAAATGATCCTCTTGTGAGAAGCCTGTTATTACCCATTAAACAAGCCCTCCAGAACAAAATAAACAACACAACAAATTCAGGTTAAAACACAGTAGTAGGATAGATGAGTTTAGTTCATTTATTATGCACCCCATACCCATCCTATGGACGGTAGTGGAAAAAGGTCACAGAGGCACATAATGGGCTCAGGGACTGAGCCCCACAATTCATTTAGCTAAGCAAGTTACAATCATGATGAGTTAGTTTAATTTTGTTTTAGTATATAGTATAGCTAGTATAAATTTTGCAAGTATTTACCTACTTAAAATTTTCTTAGATTAAGGACCTGCCCGAAACGCGGCGCGTACTAGTAGCATTGCAAGAATGTAATTACTATGCTATGTATCCTCACAATCCCAATGTACCTTCTTGTATACTGTATATATAAATAAATAGTTTTAGTTTAGTTCATTTATTATACACCCCATACCCATCTTGTGGGCGATAGTGGGTTACAGAGGCCCATAATGGGCTCAGGGACTGAACCCCACAATTCATTTAGCTAAGCAAGTTACAATCCTGATGAGCTAGTTACAAAATTTAATATAAGTCGTCACATCAACAATGGGTGCGGAATAAATCAATCAAAAGTTACAAAATTTCCTATATAAGTCATAGGTATTCCATTTTCTGTGGTGTGTGTGGAGGGGGTCTGAGAGGGAGGTGGTGGTGGAGGGGGCCGGAGACGAGGCGACTGTCAGTAACCAGTCATGTCACACCAAACTGGGATAACAGGTATCACTTAGCTTGCTCCTTGAGGTGTGTTGTGTGTTTGGAGGGCCAGTGTTGGTGGAGGAGAGAAGTAGGAGTGCTGGTGTGGAAGGGGGAGAAGGAGGGAAGGGGTGATGGAAGAGGCAGAAAGGAAGGAAGGAGGGGCGTTACCTGTTCTAGGGGGTTATCTATCACTCTACTCCATTGGTTTCATTCCAGTGAAACCAATGGATGGATGGCTACTCCATTGGGTTCATTCTATGGCCAGAGTTACGTATCTCTGATTAACCAGAGTTAAATGGCATTTTGGGTATTTAATGCCAATATATGTCTTATTTTTCAAGTCTCGAGTGGATTTTTTAATCTTCAATAACCACTTTCTCTACCTTAAGTGCAATTAAATAATAATCATTTATTTACAAGAAGTTACAATGGGTTGGTGAGATTACATAAGATTGGTAGTTTGTACATTCCTGCAAAGTCACTAACATTGCATAGCATTTCTCGCAGGTCCTTAATCTTAACATATCAATGATGACAATGTTCATTGGAGCAAGGTTTTTTTATACCTGAATATATCAACAAATAACTACAATGTAAGTCGACAGTTGATTACAACGGTAAAGATGTATGTCTTGAGTACTAGTATTGGGCAAGTGGGTAGTACGAGATATAGTTTCCTGCCTGAAACGCTTTGCGTAATAGTGGCTTTAGGCATTGTATGTACTGAGCTCTATCTATAAATCCATCAACTTTTGTATCTTACCTTGTATGTAGGCGTTCTCGCAGGTTTATAACCCTATAGAAACAGTCCTCACTGAAGGTATCCTAACTCTTAGCAATCCCTGTGGCGAGTAAGACACTCGCACTTTGTTTCACGAGCACTTTGGCCTGGGTTTGTATCCTGGCCGAGGAGGATTTACTGGGCACCAATCCTTAACTGTAGCCTCAGTTCACCCAGCAGTGAATGGGTACATGGTTGTTAAACGATTTGGCGGGGTCGTATTGCGGGGAATATTAGGATTATGGACACGCCTGAAATGCTGTGTGTGCTAGTGGCTGTACAAGAATATAAGAACTCATATATATATATATATATAATAAATAAATAAATAAATAAAAAGGTACTGTATCCTGACTCAAGGTATCCTAAACCAAACCAATTCAAGGTAAAGTATACAAATCCAAGATATTCTAGCCCAAGGTATCCTAGTCCAAGGTATCCTAACCCATCCTAACTTGACCTAACCTGAGGTACTACATAGTTTTACCAGCTTGACTCCTTCTTTTGCTGATTACTCACTTAGCTGACCTGACCTGACCTAATAAAACTATGAAGTAAAGTCAGTTACCTTCCAATTTAGCTTTGCTTGCTTCTGGAGTACAGTATAATCATGTTCTCACCAGATTGTCATAAAAGCTGAAATGATTCAAAAATTTTCAGCCAAATGAGAGATTCCTTACTGCCTTACTTGGTCTAAGGTGATGAATTCAGGCCTCTGAAGGGATTAACTCTTCAATATTCCCAGGTCCTACACAGTACACAGAGATTGGGCAAACTTTCTCTTGGGGACCAAGTCCATTAAAATAAAGAAATTGTGAGGGCTTGCCATTATTTACACGCACCATCACTATTTAAACACAATCCATGATGCATTGTGCTATTTGAATACAAGGTTATGTAATATTATGACCCTAACCTAACATGTGCATTTAGCCCAAAAATAGCACAAAAACAGTACATATGTTTAAATATCCTATAGTACAATGACAACATTCTCAATTCGTAATTGGGGATCCCAGATTCATTCCCTGGAGTAGGGCAGAAATGGTTAGCGATGTTTCCTTTCACCTAACGCACCTGTTCACTTAGCAGTAAATAGGTATGTGGGAGCTAGGCACAGGATTGTATTCTGATTTAAATTTGTGCAGCTTATAGTAGTAGTACGGCATGCTAGGTTTTGCTATTTTGAGTGCTCTTTCTACTGCAATTAATTTTCATGTTTGCATCATTCTGATTATATAATGCTTGCACTTAAGATCTATGAATTCTTCATTTAACTTCAAATTTTAACTAGAATTTTCTGTATTTTGTTTGTATTACAGTACTGTAACATATTTTATTTAAATATTATACTGTATTTCCATTATTAACAGCTATACTCTAAATTAATTATTTTAAAGTATGTTAAATGTTATTGCCGTTATCTGATGTTAAAATTGCAATATTACCATTTCTCTTTTACTTGCAGCAAATGAAGATTTATTGAATTTCTTCAGTACCTGCCGTAATGGAAGTGTTAGAGTCTTCAGAATTACCATCGAAGATGGTACTGGTAACTATTATGTTCCGTAATTAATTTATTGCAATATGTATAGGTAAGGCAAGAGCTGTGTAATTCTGCTTGAACTTTGAAGATATACTTTTCTTTTAACATATTTATTTTTGCATATGTGTGGGAAAAGTGTCATTCCAGCTACATCGCTTACAACAATAACGTGTTTGCTTTTTTCTTCAGTTTAAAAGTCCAGTTCTTCTTATAACTTAATCATAAGTGACATTCAAGAATTTGCCTTGTGTATGCTTTGCACCAGAAGTGATAAAGGTATGTCATGTGGCTGACTCAAATTGGATTAGGCTGGTTGAGCTTATAACTTGTAGGCTTGTATTTGGACTTCTGTATATAAATTGTATCAACATTTATGCAGCCTAGGATATGCTGTCGTATTTTTTTTATTTACTACTTTTGTCAAGTGATCTAAAACTTAGGTATAGGAGAGATTTTGGATGAAAATGTCAGCTATAAAGTAAAATCATTATTATTGACAAGTACTCTTCCTGTGTGTACTCAAAAGTTATGGTAAAAATTTTGACTTCATAATTAAAAAAGACACAAAACTATTGTATCCTCATTTCTGTAAAGTTTTCTCTAAGAAATCTTTATCCAGTAACTGGTGCTAGTGTTTACTGTATTGAGTAGAGACTTTTAGACATTTATACTAGAGAATTGTGTGTGTTTTTTGGACTTTAAAATGCAAAATAAATGTAAATAAAGTCTCCCCAATACAGTACAGGTACTGAACATTAGTTGGCTTTATATGGTATTTGGTTTCTTCCTCCCCCTTGTGTTAGAAGTAAAGTAGCATACTACAGTATTTCTGTTTGGTATTCTTTTGTGTTTTTGTCAGCATGGCCTGATGGGTTGCTTCCCCTAGCCAGGGCCATGGGTCAACCCATGCCACTGTCAGCATGCCTGGCTGTGGCTGGCTTTAAGCTCCACTAGGATAATGAACTTTGCTAATTGCTTGGCCTTGTGGTTTTTAGGTGAAAAGACAGTGAAAGGAAAATCTCAATTCACCAAGTGACCAACCACCTGCTACAAGCCAAAAGAACAAAATGAAACTACTCGACGCCCCCTTCAAGTGATAATTGGGATTGCAAATACTGTATAGTCGGTTATTGCTCTGATGTAACGTAATAAGGAAACTACCCATTGCTTAGAGAGTTCTACCAGTTGGCAGGACTAGGTAACACAACAAGATCAAAGGTGGTAACAGCTTCATAAGAAAATAGGCAGAGCATTTCAGGCATAATAAGAATAAATAAAATTGCAGAAGGCCTAATGGCCTATTCTAGACAGCATCTAGCTCCTCATTCAATCATATTCAAGGTAGTAAAAAAACAAACCAAACCCTGGGAATAATCAAGTGTACCTTTACCTTCAAGGAAAAGAAAGTAGTTGTTCAATTGTACAAGTCTCTGGTGTGCCCCCACTTGGTTTATTGTCTCCAGGCATGGACACCTCATCTTCAGAAAGACATAGCTGCTCTGGAGAAGGTGCAACACGGGGCAACAAAAGTCATCCCAGAGCTTAGTCATCGCTTGTATCAGGAATGGTTGAGGGGCACAGGGCTAACAACACTGCAAACCAGGCATAACAGGGTGGATCTCATCAAAACCTTTAAAATGCTGAACAATTTGGAGGTTGTCGATCCGAACAATTTATTCAGGTCAGATGTAAAACAAACGAGGAGCAATGGGTTAAAGCTTAAAAGCCACAATGTAAGAAAGAAAACAGGAGATGGTTTTTCAGCAATAGGGTTTTAAATCCCTAAATTAACTAAATTGGGTGGTTACCCGCTTCGGCGGGTAACCACCTACCTGCCGAAGCTGAAAACACCAAACCTCTGTTTTTTGCATTTTTTAAACCGTTTTAAAATACAGCTGGAAAAGATCAGAGCAAATGGGGGGGGAACCTTTGACAAGCTGCCAGCTTCCTGTCTTCATCGAGGCCACTAATATTAGTGGCCCTCAGGTAAATTCAGGTAAATGTTTAGTAGCTTATGGCAGCAGATTTGCTCTTCTTAACACATTCTCTCCCACCACTATCACTCTTAACTAACACAGTGATCAACAACAGACATGACCCCATTGAATATTGTATTCAAATTACCAGATTGGTAAGAGGGTTAACCTAAAAAACTGTCTCTAACTTTATAATAAAATAAGTTTTGTGTCGTGTTATGCATTAATTGTATAAACAGACTCCAGCTATATTGCTATTTGCACAAAGAAATAAGAGTGTTCAAACAAAGGAATCTCCTCAAGAAGCATATGTAAGAGGGAACAGTTTGGAGTAGAATGAAAAAGACAGGATGCATAAGTAACAAATAAAAATAAACATGAGAAAACATCATTAAATAAAAGGCCTTTGTGGAGAGTATGTAGCGACCACCTGTAGCTGCTGCAGTAAGTATAATCTATAATGCGTTGTGTTGGGGACAGGAAGCCAGAGTGTATTCATACATGTTAGGCTTATATCGAGGCCCCCCCCCCCCCTCTTCTCAGGCTGAATTACTGACCCCGCCCAGGATGTAACCCCACAACAAGCTGACCAACTCCTGAGTACCTACCTACTGCTAGGTGAACAGGTGCATTCGGTGAAAGGAAATGTGCCCAACCATTTTTGTCCCGCCTCGGATTCGAAGCTGGAATTCACGATTTTGTATCGAGAACGAACCCGACTACTACCAGGACCCTTCTCAGGAGTATATACAAAGAATGGAACTCACAGTGAGAAGTTATACTTCTTAGTTTTCAGAAAGTACAGCTTCATTTAGCAACTGGAGTAATCTGCTATGAAAGATCACAACAAAAAATTATTGATCATTAATAAATCATTAAGTAATCATTAACTTCCTTTTTCATGGCAACCAGTATGCTAGGTTGGATGCTACTTTGCAATTGACAAATTACACTCCAATGCCTAACATATTTCTTTTATCCACAGAGGCTCTCCAGCTTGGTGAGTGGTATCCAGCTCAGGGGTCGTGGGAGGATGATTATGATACATTAGTATTACCACTGCTTAAAGAGAAGCAGCCGTGCTATCTTCTATACAGGTTAGAAAGCATAGTACACTATTTGTAACTTTAAAAGTTTACTAAATACATTAATGCCGGTCCGTGATGCATAGTGATCGTATATTTAAAATATATTTATTTGGTATCCTTCTTGGGAAACATCGTATGTTACCAGAGAAAGGTCCCCCATTGATTTCCAGAGAAATGGCCTGGTCCTATGTAGGATGCTGTATTCCCTCCCGGCTCTGATCGACCTGTACCCCACGTTGACAATGTTCTCTTCAACTGGTCTTGCCACTTAGCTGGTTTGTTAATGAGTGGTTGTCAGAGGTGAGCTCTGGCTGGTTGCCACTTACTCGGTGTGGTAGCTGTTAGGTCTGTCCATACTTGTCTCATGTGTTTCAAAGAGTGGCATCATGTAAACGCAAAAAAAAATATGGTTTAAGAAGCAGAGGTCAATAATTTATAGATAGGATGATACATTTTAACATAGGACAGGCTGTCCAGTTATAAGGTTTCCCAATGTCGAGAAAACTGTCAATTTAAAGTGTCCTCTCCGAATCCACCAGAGGACCCAAAACAGAAAACGGGGCAGTACGTCAGTTTTGCAAGCCACTTCCATTTTCTAGTACGACAAATTTTGCCATAGTAACGCATACGAGCAAAAAACCGATGTTCTTTGTAGGAGGACAGGTTGATTACTTCAAATCTACAGATGACTCAAATGTTTTATTGGAGCACTATAGCGTGAAAGTATTGTACAGTACTGAACAGTGCTGCACTTCTCTGTGGAAATTGTACTTTTTCCAAATGCATAAACATAATTTTTCACTAAATACTATGGGTATTTATACAGTAATTATTTTTTTTATATAGTTTTGCACTTGATAAAATAAGATGGCTGAATATTTTTATTTTGTAGTAACATTCTGCAGACTGGTTGATGTTGGTGCTTACATTACATTACATTCAGTCTTGAGGAGGAGGATGAATGCATTTGCTTCATCTTGCATGTTATACAAGTTTCTTATTCTGAATGAGAGAGGTTATGCAGCCTTTTGTATATTCATTGGATGTTAGATGTTCCTCCTGGCTTAACTTATTTATGAAGGCATTTGTAGACAAATAGAGGCTCTTCATCTTGGTTCTTAGAGTGATGCTGAATACTTTGCATTAGTATTTTAGTACCAGGTTGAATCTAAATAATTCTGTAGGCATAACCTTACATGGGATAAGATTTAGATAGATTGGGGATACAGTTTCAGTAATTGGGCACTGGCAAAAGATGTTTTACCACGTTTATGCTTGGGAGAGTTTAGACGTCGTGTTGTTTCATACCAAAGGATGGTGTTGGCTCCCTTGATTGTTTTGAAGACCTCCCTGATTATAATTCCCTTTTCCTCTTCTGTTGTGCTTGAGACTTCTTGAGTTTGATAAGAATTCTGTATAGTAAGTATATCTTCATGTTAACCCTTTAAAGTTTTTGTGATTCCTACATTCATTTGCACGAAACGTCAGAACGTTCAGAGGATGACTATACTGTAGTTGGAATTTTCAATGTCGGCTAAATTTAAATCCCTTTATGTATTTTATTTCCCTTTTATTGCATTTTTTAAAATATCATTATAAAGCACAACTCTTTAGCTTAAAGATATACCAAATTGAATGCTATACCATGCATAGTAACTTCGCAGTATGCGTCGGAAGTAAAATATCGCCAAGTGATTTGCACTTGGCCAAGACTCTAGTAGTGACCAAAATTGGTAAGGGGCAAACACGTGAAAGGGTTAAGGGGGTGCACATTAGTTCTTTCTTTATAGATAATATGATAATAAATAAAGTAATAATTACAAAAATAAAGTGAAGTACATGTAGCAAAGTTGTCAAGTTTGTCTAATAGTTTTCAACTTGCAGGTTAGACAGTGAAGCACATGGAGGATATGAGTGGGTACTTGTAAGTTGGTCTCCCGATGACTCTCCTGTGCGTGAGAAGATGCTTTATGCTTCAACAAAGGCTACACTCAGAAAGGAGTTTGGAGCAACACAAATCAGAGATGAGATATTTGGCACTGTGCATGTAAGTGCAACCTGTTTAGTAACATGAGTTTGTATCTTTCAAAATCCAGGTTCCAGAGAGTAAAATTAAAAACTTTATTAAAAGTCTGCTAATTATGGTGAGTGTGCATGTATGTGTTTTTGTTTGTTTTTAACAAGGTTTGCAAAGCTTTTATATTAAAACCTAAGATGATTTATTTCCCTTCGTGGTTAAGGGTTACTGTCTTCACCTTTGCTGTCATCATGATTGTGTTAAACTAACATTTACTGTTTAACCCTTCAATGCATGTGACAGTCAGGGATGTTCTTGCCATTTATGGTCTCACTGCACAAGACAGTAAGGGATGTTTTATAAGTACTACTCAGGATTTAAAACTCCCGCAGGTACACAGGGCTCATATCTGCTTCCTCGGGCCTCGAGTAAACAGATGCTATCTTGGGGAAAAAGTATTGTGGGCACCCTGCCTAGGTGTGAGGGGCCTCGGTAATATAGCCAATAACTGGGCTGACGATATGACGACCAAGCCACAGATCAGAAGATGGAGAAATGACATTGTTTCTTCATCTTCGACTTGCCCGAAACGCTGCGCGTACTAGTGGCTTTACAAGATTGTAATTACTATGCTATGTATCCTCACAATCCCAATGTACCTTTTTGTATGTATATAAATAAATAAATACAATCTTCTCACCTGTGGTTTGGTCATCTGATCAGTACCTCATATAGAAGCAAACAATTAAATATGCCTACTTAAAACTGGGAGTTAAGTGTACTAAGTTGCTTTATTGCATGATTTAAGTACAGTATTGAAAACAATGTAAGCATAAACAGGGGTAAAATTTTAAGATGGAGGAAAAGTTGCAGTGTTTTCTCTTAGAACCTTTACTGTTGCTACATTTAAACATTCTTAATTAATTAATTGTGTATACAGAAATACAGTATAATAAAATTGGCATGTGCCAAAAATTAGTGCATTATGCCAGTAATATATCTTACTTTGAGTCTATTAAAATGTTTTATTTCATATCAGATGGAAAATCTATACAGTATCATTCTCAGATTTAATACATATTTTTTTAATTTATCGTACTGTATATATTTAAATCATCATATATATTTAAAGCATGTGTAATGCTGCGACTTGCACTGGTAGTGAGAGATGAGGTACCAGTTTGACCGATGATTAGAGTACGGAGAGCATTACATATAACCAGTAGCATAACCTACTGGTAATAATCGCATTACATGGTGATTAGAATCGCTTGGAAACAGGTGTGCATGAATTAACAATGCTCCACTGAATAAAGTGTTTAAATTGTTGTCATTTATGGAATCAACTAATATTACTGTACTGACATAATTAATTTTACGAGAATAAATTTTATAATTATTGACTTGTTGCAGGAAGATGTAAGCTTAGATGGATTACGCCGTCATCGGAAATCGGCCAGTGCTCCAGTTCCACTCACTCCAAGGGTATGTTTGAGTAGATGCACAATCTAGCATTACAGTACTGTACTTCCGAATCTTCAATTGTATGTACTTTGATGGCATGAGCACCATTGAAAAGAGGATTCCAGGTCTCGATACAAGTAATACTATGATATATTCTGTAAAATATAAAGTTTCGTTTCTGGAAAACTGTGTGTTACCTAAGAATGCATTATATAAACTTAATAACATATGGGGAAAATAGGGTTATGTTGCCAGTCATGGCAAAGTTCTACATCATATGCATAATTTACCTGGATTAAAACTGTGTTTAGTAGGGGTATAATTGCCTAAGTGTACAGTAGTTACAGGATGAGAGTTATGCATGTGGTGTCCCATCTTTCCAGTACTCTGTCATACAAGTCTTTTGAAACTACTGACGGGTTTGGCTTTCTTGCTTAACTTGTTCCAACCGGCTACCACTCTGTTTGCAAAAGAAAACTTTCTAATATTTTTTCAGCACCTTTGTTTCCTTGGCTTGCTCTTTGACCTCTTGTTCTTGAAGTTGCCAGTTTCAGGAATTTCTCTGTTAAATTGGTTGATTCCTGTTATTATTTTGTAAGTGGTGATCATATTGCCTCTTTACTTCTGTTTTTTAATTTGGCATATTTAAGGTCTCTAGCCTCTCTTCACAACTCTGTTTTTTTTCAGTTTTGGAAACCATTTTGTAACATGCCTGTACATCTTTTCCACTTTTCTTGGTATGCTTCTTGAGATATGGGTACCATACAGTTGCTGCATATTCCAATTTTGGTCTCAAAGGTTTTTAGTATTTTGCCATCCTTGTATTTAAAAGCAATTCTGAAGTTGGAGAATGTAGCATAGATATTGTCTACTATTGCACATTACATAATGTGGCATTTATTCACATTAAAGTCCATCAGCCAAGTGTTGCTCCATACACTTACCTAGTCTTGGTCATCTTGAAGGGCATGACAAAGCTCTTAAGTGTCTTATCTTCCCTTGTAGTTTAGTATCAGCAAATATGTTCACATAACTCAGTACAGTACCTGTATTCCTCCTGGTATATCGTTCATATAGACCTTGAACATTACTGGTGCTAGAATTGAACTCTGTGGTACACCACTTGTAACATTTCTCCAGTCTGATTCTTTGCATCTGATTACCACCCCTCACTTTTCTATCAGAATTTTTTTTATCCATTTCAGAAGTGTCTCTTTCACCCTTACAGTTTCTGGAACAACCTCTTATGTGGGACTCTGTCAAAATCCTTTTTTTTTGGTGCAAATACATGCAATCTGCCAAGACTACTGTACACAAAGATATCTGAAAAAATCATTTGAATTGGAGCACTCATTTCAAATGTACATTCTTTCAGAGCCCAAGGTGATATCCCATCACCTTGGGATGATGCTTTGTTCCTACTTGGCTCCTATAACATTTTTTCTATTTCATCTTGAGACACTGTAAGTATTCTTTGTTATTCTCTGAAATTCATATACTGGTAGTTTGGTTTCTGAAAAAAAAAAAACATTTTTGAACAAACACTTTGTTTAGTGTTTCACACATTTCCGTTTTAGTTTCTGAGAATCTGTTCCCCATTTTCACCCTCTAGATTTTATCCTTTACCTGCAGTTTACTTGTAATACATTTATAGAATAGGACTGGTTTTGTTTTACAGTTGTCTGCTATCCCTTTCTCAAACATTCTTTTTGCTTCTCTCCTCACCGCTATATAGTTGTTTCTTGCTTATTTGTATCAATGTTACATTTGAGGATTAGGTGTGTGTGATGCAGTGGAGGGGGGGGGGATGTGCATAGTGAAAAGAGGGTTTGAGAATGGTAGTGAGTATAGTTATGTTGCTGTTATCCTGAAGAGTACCTCATTCACCCGTTCCAATAAGGAACAACTTTTTTTTGGGGGGGGCTAAATATACCTTCATCGAAGAGCCCCGCCCATCCTTAGAAGCAGAAGAATGTGATTGCTCAGAAATCAGGTTTATGAGTTACATGAAAAATGCTTTTTGGAAGATCATTCAGCTGCTGCTGTTTCTTGTTCTTTCTCTCTTGTGCTCAGAGCTGGGTTATTAGCATGAGGATGTTCTGGAGGTGGGGATTGGCAGGTGTGTGTGGTGCGCAGCCTGGTGGCAGCTAAAGCGATCATTCTTGTAAAGCCACAAGCACATGCAGTGTTTCGGGCAGGTCTTTAATCTTAATTTTCCCTGGAATACAACCTGTCAAATCGTTTTACAACCAGGTACCCATTCACTGCTGGGTGATGAGGCATACAATCAAATATTGGCACCTAGTCAATCCTCCCTGGCCAGGATACGAACCCAGGCCAAATCGCTTACAAAGCTCAGGGCGATTGTGTTACCAGGTGCTAGGGACTGTTTTCCCTAGCTCCTGACTCCACGATCCTGTCCTATGGATACATTGGATCCTTACACTATGGAGCAGCTGAGTAACTTGCTTAGAAATTCATTTTATATAAATTAAAGCCTGATTATGTTTTGTGGATTATTTAGTACTGTATTTAGTTCTGTATTATTATTTTAAAATTTTTGTTTATGTTCTAAAAAATGTTCCAGAAATGTAAATTTTTCAACATAATGAAATTCTGTTTACTGTATAGTATTGAGTTGGTGTGTAGCAAGGGATTCTTGAATGCTGTTAATGCAACACTTAAATCCTACACATGCAATTGCTATCCTATCAACCATTATTTATTACAGGCTATTCGTGCCCATGCCACCTCTTGGATGGCTTAATCTTCATCAATCAATTGACCATTATTTCTTCCACTTACCTCATATTTAATCTACTACTCTTCAAATTTAGCCATCAAAGCTCCTCGAAATATCTTAAATATTTGGAAATTTCTTTGTGTCGAAGTGCACAATAAGTACAGTATGTGTAGGTCCCAGTGTCAGTACAGTAGCATCACTTACTGTGGTGTTGCTGGATTGTGTTTCTCTTGCTGTGATCATCATCAAGAAAAAATAGAAAAGTACAGGTGACCCAAATTTATGTAGTATATGCAGATTCGAAGTTAGACAAGTGAGCTCTTTATACCAAAATTCAGTATGCAGATGAATTTTAGATTTTTGAAGGCCGAGTATGATTTAAAGCAATTAAAAGTGGATAATCTGTGATAGTCCTAGGGTCGACTGCATTAGCTGCAGTTTGTCATGCAACCACAAACCCTGCTTTCTTGTGTTTTACTCATTTTTGGAGTTTTCTTTATTCATCATTGCACATCCCCCAAGCAGTTTGGACCTCATTATATGCTGAATGTGTGGCTGGAAAATGAGTTTTTTTTTTTTTAGGTCTCTGGAACTTAACCCTGTTTTTACCATGATACAGTAGTTCTTCAACCATTAAACTGAAATTATCAGCGGAAAAATGTAATGCATTCATAAAGCGAGGGAGGCCTGTGCAGTAAATAAAAAAACAAAACAAGTTAGGCATGTAATTTTAGAAACAAATGAATATGATTCAATATTATACAGTTTGGATTCACATTAATACATTTGTGCAGACCTTAGTTTTTCTAACATTAAATTTAAATTATAAATGGTAGCAATTCTCTTACCACAGAGTGATGAGGCTTATGAAAAGGAAGACCTGTTCTGCTCAACTGAATCATACACTCAGTAATTCTTAGCAGAAAAGTTCATGCTGAGCTTCCAAGGTGGAAATTGAGATGTTGTATTTCTAGATTTGTGTGTCCTATTTTGTACCCTTTTAGAAACCGCTCGATTCCATTCATTCGATAATTAATAAATTTATTATCCTTTAATTCTCTTCTGATATTTACCTTGTTTTAAAACCAATATATATAGTGCTATATTTAAAGTTTTATCACTTAAGATTTATATCATTTTTGCTTTTCTTCTTGATTGATTATTTTGAAGGTTTTTCTTGAAAACACTGTTATACTGTACATGTTACTTAAAAAAAAAGTTTCTCATTCGACAATCATTAGATTGCTTTTCATTTAGTTGTAATTTGAATACCCTATTTTCTGCATTTTGCATTTTATATAGTGTAGATTAAGTCAACTATATGTGAATATTATTGATGTATTATATTAAAATAACGTTAGAATTAAAGTACACTTGTACCGTAGATAACGTTTTATTCTGTGTTACGAAAGATAACCAAGATTATATTTACCTCAACTTGAAAGCATCTTTAAAGTTTACCTGTTGAACTATCACAAAAGAAACTATGGCCATTTTGTTTTTGAATTATTACTTACAAGCACTGTTCTGGGTCCAGTACTGTGAGAAATACACTGGCTGCTGGTCCTTCTAAATAGCAGTAATATCAGAGATCATAAATATGCTTCACTAAATAAATTTTTAAAAATTTTATCCTCTCGCAACTTATTCCTTCATTACCCCTCCATTTCACATTCCATTTATTTATTCACATACTGAACTAGTGTATGAAATGTAGCATTAAATATTTATATTTTTGTATCTGTATATTTCCAGAGCTATTTTAGTCTCACATACAAAGTGACAGTCAGTTCACACAGTACAGCTTGAAAATCAAAAGTTGAACGGTAAAAGATAAGAGAGAACGCTCCGCAAATGGTGCTGAAATTCAAAGCTTTAAATTATGAAGAGAGTTAGCCAAAATCAAATCTCATAGTTTTACATAATAGATAGTGTTTGACCAAACCACACACTAGAAAGTGAAGGGATGATGACGTTTCTTACAATTGACTTGAGAATGGTCCAGAACTGACCAAAATATTGTCATCCCTTCACTTTTTAGTGTGTAGTTTGGTCAAACACATTTCAGCCACGTTATTGTGACTCCTCGTCTGCATAATAGATAGTGCTTCTCATGTGTTAAAATTTTTTCAGAATTGATGGGGAGATAAACTTGAAATTCCTAGCCTTTCATAGCTGACTATTGCATTAACTTTCCCTTCACAGGAAGAGGAGATGCAAGAAATAAAAAAGCAAGAGGTTGGAGTTGACATTGGGGTAGACACCAAGCACCAGACTATGGCTGGCATTACTTTCCCTATTGTGCCTCAGGCTCTCGATGCAGTTCGAGAATTTACCACAGGGGATCTGCAATATGTGCAACTGAAAATTGGTAAGATAGTTTTTCCCTAAATATTTAGGGTTTATATTGGAATTCAAGAATGTACTTTAAGGTAATGGAATATTTTACAGCGTAATAAAAGATTATTTAATCCTTTATATGCTTAACACTTTCGTGCCCCCTTCGATGGTAAAAAAAAAAGCGGTATGTGCGGGGAGCGTTTTTGCTGAGTAAGCGTAAAAACAAAAATGTGTATACTCTTTTTACTCTCCTTACCTTAGTTCTTGAGCTACGTATTTCATTTTGGTACCAACGTGTTCACAATAAAATTCTCTAGAAGAACATCAGTAAAAAAAGTCACGAAACGTATAGGGATACCAGCACCAAATAAATAACTACGAAGATGACTCGCCGTGAGCGCCCAACAGCAACAAAATGTTTTTACTCTTGGGATTGTTATCACCTCCACACTTGTCCTACAGTGTTAATTTTGGTATCAATGGACTCGCAATGAAATTCCCAACACGGTGATATGAATATAAGCGTAGAATAATGATTGAGGCCCGCCCGCAAGAGTGTGGGAAGTGGTGAAATTGTTACCCAGTATCGGTGACGGGACGACGCACGGCGCTTTGAAAGTTTATACTTATTTCACTCTCATGACATTAATTTTCTATGTACGTCATTCATTTTTGTGTCAATGTGTTCGCAATAGAATGTTCTATGAGCCCGTAGGTAAAAAAGATCAACAAAGCGTAAGATAGAATAGCTCCAAATATAAAACAACGCTGGAACATATCAGTGAGCGTCAAACACACACAAAATGTTTTTACTTTTGTTATGTTTGTCAAGTTTATACTTGTTGCACACAGTTATTTTTGGTTGTACATTGATCGGAATAAAATTCCCTAAACAGACATATGCATATAATACATGATATGGGGGAAGCATTACCAGTATAAACGGCTAAAGTCACCCACCTGCAACCCGTTTGGGACATACCATTTGATCGAAGTGGTCCACACCTTTCATGAACTTATTGTACCATGCAGCCTAGTGGTGAGAAAGAGAGCCTCATGGTGCGCAGTTTGAAACAAACCCAAAGTAAATCGGATAAAAATTGAATTTTATACAAATATTTTAAGAGGACATAACTTTATGTCCACTATGCGTTAGCGGTTAGCGAAACAGGACTCCTCGGTGAGTCCGGTTAGCACGAAAGTGTTAAGTTCATGCACTTAATCTGTGCTAAAAGGCCCAGAATAGACTTGAACAATTGTCATGTTTTCTTTGTTTAATTTGAGGGGTTAGTTGTAATATTTGTGTGATCAGTTCTTTGTCAAATGGATCTTTAAGTGTTATGTCAAACTTCTGCTTTTTAACAAATGTGTCCAATTTCTCATGAAGTGTGTAAAATTTAGTTTTGTGAACATAATTTCATCTATTGGAATTGAAATAAGTTTACTGAGGTAAAATACACACAAAGGGATGAGGTAGCTCAAGCTATTCTCACCCCGTTCAGTACGTGTTAATACATACATAGATACACATCACAAACAATAAACATATTATTTCATCTATTTCACATTGATATTAAAGTATGTAGTGTGGAAAGTGTTACAGGTGGTATGGGGGTCTTATTCAGGGCACGAATCAAGGTAAGGAGTTCTACTTAATGGGGGTTAGGAAAGACCCAGCCCCAGGGAAACGATTCCCAGAAAATAAAAGTACAATTATGGTCTCATCTTGAGCAGATCACCTAACCCTAATCAAGAGGGGTGATGGAAACTCCAGCTGAAGTTTTAATTTTACCTTAATATAATTTACTAACCCTAACCTCCCCAAGTACAACATAAATACTTTACCACCTCAATCTTATGTCACCTCGCTATCTCCACATAGGCAGGAGACAAGACTAAATACAACAAAGTAGTGGTAAAGTCTACTTTTCCTTAAGAGACAACACACTTGACTAAAACAAGTATAATTATATCAGACACATGTTCACTAGTCAGTGCCTAGATCTAATTACTTGGAACTCGAAGGATTTTACCAGGGAACACAGATTAAAATTACACTTGGAACCTAATGGCACGTGGTACGGGTTACTTAACTTGGTTATAGTAAAGAAATAGAGGTGGTAAAAAGGGAGGCGACACAAAACCAACCAGCCGCCTTGGAACCCCCAGCCAAGAAGACCCGCACAGCTACCCGCGTTCCACCGCTCTTGCTTCTGGGTTTATTTATTTATTTATTTATTTATGCATATACAAGAATGTACATAAGGAATGTGAGGATACAAATATGGTAATTACAGTCTTGTAAAGCCACTAGCACGCGCAGCGTTTCGGGCAGGTCCTTAATCTAAGAAAATTTTAAGGAGGTAAATACTTGCAAAATTTATAGACAAAAAAATGATAACAGATTACATGGAATGAAAAAAAAGAAGATGAGATAAAATTATAGGTACAGTATATTAAAGCACATAGGTAGCTATGATTGATTGCAATGACAGCTTAAAATGGTAGTTGACAACAAATTGGTAGGCACAATACAGCAGAAACAATATAAGATTGATTGCAATGACAGCTTGAATGGTAGTTGACAAAAATTGGTAGTCACAATACAGCATATGGCTAGCACATGAAAGAAGACAGCAATGAACACAATGATAAGGTTGTTTGATATTACATAAAAATTAGGAGATTGGGTAACACTAGGTACAGAGCAAATTTAAAGCTCAGAGTAGGAAACTAAATAGATGAAGTTAGGTACTTGTTAGGGTTGGTCAACTGATTGTACAGTAACTAACCTGAATCTCTAATATCATATTAAATTGCCACCATGCAGTTCTAAGTATAAATATAACATCCTAGCTTTACAATACACAGGTTAACTACAAAGCTAGGAGCATCAAAATGCTCTTACTTCTGGCAAGGACGCAATCGCCCGCCATTTGTAAATTGAGGAACATTCCTCTATATAAATCTGTCAGAGAATAACCCTCCTTCTTTAACCCAAACCTATCTTAAAATCTCTAAAAATTTAAATAACACTAATCCCACCCATAATCCAAAACATTCAGGGCCTATCACTAAAATACCTACATGATTGAAGGGTCCCTATTTCATACCAAAGCTTAGTCATCTCTCATATCAGGAACGGTTGAGGGCCACTGGGCTAACAACACTGCCGACCAAGCATGACAGGGTGGATCTCATGGAAATCTTCAAAATAATAAACAATTTGGACAATGTAGATACCGAAACTTTCTTCAAGAGATGAGATGTAACACGAACATGGAGCTCAAATTTGGTTAAAGCTCAAAAAGCCCCAATGTAGGACAGAAAATAGGAGATGCTTTTTTACCCAAAGGGTTGTAAACCCATGGAACCGCCTTCCCGCTGAAGTCATAAACGCCAAAACTCTGCTGGGTTTTAAAATATAGATAGAAAAGATCATCAGGGCAAAGGGGTGGACCTTTAACAAGCTGCCAGTTTCCTGTCCTCGTCGAGGCCACTAGTATTAGTGGCCCTCAGGTAATTCAGGTAAATATGTAAACAAATGCCATACACTCCTGGATCCATTTTCCACAGTGCAATATTGGACCCCGGGTCATAACAGAAAGCTATGGTGATTTTTTTTATTAATGTTTTTAATGCATGTGCACAAAGAAATCTCATTAACGTGATATATCAATGAGAAAATCCGTAAAAGCCATGGTTCCTAACGATTTTCTCAATGATATCACTTTAATGTGATTTCTTTGTGGATTTGAAAGGAAGTTTTGGGGTAAAAAGCCCCATACCACAGCCAAAATGTATGTGGGTAATGTGTAAAACTTGATTTGGGGTTAGAAGGTGCTTTGGGAACCTTAGAGGATTCACTGGAATCCTAGGATACATTACTTCTTAGCATGTCGTCACCTAGTGGATTAGGGCGTGTGTTTGGGAATACCCAGTGTGCAGGTTCAAATCCTCTTTATGGACCCCTACTGATTTTCTCTCTAACCCTTTTACTGTTTACCTGTTTCATGTGACAGCTTCATGGTGAGCAAACAAAAAATCAAAATTATTTCTAATATTGTTAAATGATCATGGGTACACTATAGTTTACTTTGGCTGTGGTGGAGAGGGAAAATTGCGATGATGTCGCTAATTTATGCTTGCCGATTGATGAGACACCTTGTAGAGGTTGCCCGAGCCAGGCAGGCAGCAGTTGATGTGAATACATTTATAGAGTACAAGTCATTTGTAGACCTTTATCAACACACGACTTGATGTGTGTGTTGATAATGGTCTACACGACTTGATTTTGGTCCAGGATGGATCGAAATGGTGTCGTTTCTTCACCTTCTGATGTGTGGTTTGGTCATCATATCTTCAGCCTCATTATTTTGACTCATCATCTGCAACCATGTTCTGGGTTGTGTTGCAGTTTGATTGCTGACAAGCTCTGGTTGAAGGGAGATGCGGCAATTTGTGTTTTCTGTTCTCGTATCTGACTCTTGTCGGTATTGGGTCTTGGCATTTTTTCTAGATTGCACCAGAGAATAGTGTCAAGTGATTTAATTCTTGCTGTGGCTACTTGTACCTTTTTTCATCATGTTTACAATAACTGATTTTGATATCTTTCAACCATATGTGCATACTCTCCCTCCTGACTAAGATGCCTGAATTCTTACTTGGTTCAGATAGCCAGGCCTATCTATATAGAATGTTTACCTCAAGTCCATGTTCATGCTATAAAATAAAGTTATGCTGGGAGGCTGAGTCACACGGACAGATGCTGTATGGATGGCTTTGGGCAAGTGGTATTTACTATGTTTTGGTACAGTTAACCATTTTTTTCAACTCCAATTATATTGTTGTAGATTAGTGAGTCTATGACCAGTTATCTGGAACACATGCACTATTCATAGGAAATTATATAGAAGCTGCATAGTGTATGATTTTGGTGTGAAATTATCACATTTCACCATCTCACTTGGCAACCTACACACACCCTCTTGTATCCAATGCCTCTTATAGCTCGGGCATATTTTTGATTTTTAGTGAATCCTTCAGAGGTTAAGGATTTGTTTTTCCTGCATATCTTATTATTTCCATGTAATTTCATATTTATACAGTACAGTACTATACTGGCTGAGGGCATCACCTCAACTTTGCACCTTCAATATTATGATTCTAAGCTATCCAAGAATATTAGTCATTTAATCAGAGCACTTGCCAAATACTGTACTTCCTTTAAGAGCCATCATCTTCATCTTGTTTCCCATGAAATGGAATATTGGGTAATGAGTAGCCTTTACTTTGAAGGCAAAGTTGTATTGGAATATATGGTATGTTAACAGTGCAGTATAACAGAACCTTTTATTCCCTACTACATTTATCAACACAGTAGCTTAACTAATAATTTCATGCAATGTAATTTCTTTTTGTTTCATGCCGAAACATCGCCCATTTATCCTACCATCATCACCAATTCCCCATTCCCACTTTTTATTGATTTAATAGGATTTTCATCCAAACAAGCAGCAGAAGACATTTTTATTTTATTTTGGACAGACACGTCTGCTGAAGAGATTCATCTAGCAGATACAGCAGAAACTTTGACTGTGCACGATTTGCCCCGCCGTGTACCCGACTCGGCAGCTCGCTATCACTTATACCGTTACGATCATAACTATGAAGGAGACTTCTTCCATAGCGTTTGTAAGTGTTTTAGACATATAGTACATGTAATTCTTTATTATTGTTCTTTTCAATGATTTGTAGATAAAGTTCAAGTATGTTTATTGAGACAAGAAAGAAATACATCTCGAAGGGATAGAGTAGCTTAGGCTGTTTCTAACCCCCCCCCCCCCAATTTGTAGATTATTTCTCTAAAGGTGATGGATATGATGTTTTCCATAATTTTGAATAAATATCTAACGTTTTATATGGAAAAAATTATGCGCAGTCAACAATTTTGATAATGGCCGTTCTTTTAGGGTTAAATATAGATGGGATACATTCATGTTGAACAGAAGCCAAATGAAGAACTACCATTAATATAGAATAATATATAGTATAGTATAATATTGTTAGTGTATTGTAATATAGTATTAAAGGTCTTCTAGAGTTCTGACAAGCATCAGATAGAATGAACTAACTTCTTTAATTCAAAATCATTAAATTTATTTGTTTTTTTAGCACTGTAGTAAATGAAATTGGAATAAGGAAAATCAAAATTATTATTGCCTATTAATTTTAAATTCAAATATCTAATACAGGTTTATATTTTTTTTCAGTATTTATATATTCCATGCCTGGTTATGCCTGCCCCATCAAGGAGAGAATGCTGTACTCCAGCAGTAAAAACCCCATTACAGATGTCTTAGAAAGTGGCTTCAATTTGGCTATCAGTAAAAAGGTAAATGTCTTGTACATCATAAAATGTCTTGTATCCATCTTCTTAGGTTTAATTACAGCCATGTTAAAAGATGAATATAATACTGCATTATCTTGGGTTTCCTCTTACTAAAAAGCTGAGAAAATATAATAATATTTTGTATAAATTTTGTGCTACAGTATCAACACAAATTAACGGAATGTAGAAAATGTTTCACAGTTGGGAGTGATGTGATAATTACATGGGAATAAGAGGAAGAGTAAAAATGATTCTTAATAACAAGTAAAGAAAAGTACTGTATGAAGTACTCATGGTGTGTTCAAGATGCTTGTGCATGTAATTCAAGTTTGGTGGGAAAACAGGACTTTTTTTTTATTTTAGTTCAGAGAAGCATTCATATGTAAAGTAAGGTAAATTTTATTCAGGAAAGTACGTATATAGTTATTTTACAAACATAATGTTGGATTTATAGATAGAGCTAGTACATAAAAATACCTAAAGCCACTAGTACGCATAGCGTTTTAGGCAAAACACTATGATATGCTTCGATACGCTTCGATACACTGATATGATACGCTTTGATACGCTGATATGATACGCTTCGGGCGTATGATACTAAGGGGATGTAGTATAAATGTGATTGGTGATTTCATGAATGTTGAATTCCAAGTACCTGAACATGGGGCAGAGAATGGCATGCTGTTTGTGGTTACAGTACTTCAAAGCTCAGGTGGGCGAGGGTGACATCCGCTATGAGCCGAGGTTGGGGTTACATTCGTGAAGAATTTATTTGGGTTGTCAGTCTCCAAAATAAATTTGGGTTTATTTGTCGGTTGTCAGTTTATTTAGGGTGTCTTTAGAGGTTCACATAAAATCAGTGATACTGTGTTCTCAGTAATTTACTCATTTCTTTGTTGTCATCCACGAAAGAAAAGGGATGGGGTTAAGTACCATTCTCATCACAATATGAAATGTTTCCTCTCTCTCTCTTGGTCTGTGACATGAGCATACTCTACAGTATGTCTAATGCTACTGTGTCTTTTATCTTGAGGCACTGACTTTGGTTTGCATTATCTAAAGAGGTTCTTCCCAGCTTACTTCCGAGAGGTCATGATTTATTTGTTCCAGGTAATCAGTGTACAGTATTATTAAAATTTAATTTGTAAAATTCGCCTCCTCTTGGATTAGAGATTGGCTACACAGGTCTGTTGTCCATGCCTGTGAGAACTTCAACTAGGTTGTGATCAGTGTAACATGGATTTATATTCATTGTTTTAAGTCAGTTCATTTTTGTGAAAATAAGGTTTGGGTGTTTTCTAGTTGATTTACTATTTGCTAGTTTAAGGCAAATCTGTCACAAACTTGTGTGGGATAACCTGGGTAGCAAATGGATGACTGAGGCCTCCACTGAGCATCATCCATCCTGAAAAAAAACACTTGGACAGTTGGGGATTAAACGCTGACCTGCATGAAGCGAGACTGCAGCTCTCACAATAAGCCATTCATGAAATGTTTGTTGAGGAAACCAATCGGTACACAGTGAAACTAATTGTAGATGGCTTATTACCAGCTTCACATTTGCTACGTTGAAAAGATACGACTGAATCTGAGATGCATGCATGTCTTGTGTTGCTTGTGATGAAACACTCAGAAAAACATGTCACACAGGATTCTTGGAACAAAGACAGCATTGTTCCAACCCCACTTTTCGAGAAATGCATGTCTTGCAACAAGTTCCTGCTACTTCTAAGGTGCCTTCATTTGGACAATAATGATAATGTGGTTCCAAATGATAAGCCTGTGGAAAGTGAGGTAAGTGTTCAATGATCTGAGAGGAAAGTTAAGAGATATCTTTGCACCAGGCAAGAATTTAATGATTGACAAATTGCTATTTTTTTTTTTTCAAAGGATGTCTTGCTTTCAAGCAGTATATCTCACCAGTAGTTTACCATTACTCTACTTCACTTTCATTTCCAATACTGTCCAGCTTCTGAAAATTTTAAATAATGGCAACATTACACATAATTAGCACAAATCCATGTTAATTAAAGCCACTCAGTCTTACCACCATAAAACTATATACATCTGTAATGTAAAAACAATTTTCTCCATTTGTATTTAATTTAACAATACAGTAATTATATTTGTACAGATGAGTAGTGTACTGCCCTTGTATCATGCTATATGTGTGCATACTTTTTACATCCCATCAACTGCTTCTCACCCTTAGTAATATCTACATTGACACGGTTTCCTAATTATTCCACACTTTTGTTTGCTACAAAGATAGTAATTCTGTAATTGTTACATGCTTCATTAAGAGTGTCTGTTTTTTTTCCTCAGCTTGAAGTTGGTGAAGGTTCTGAACTGACAGAGGAATATTTGTTGGATGAAATTCACCCAAAACGTAACCTTCACCGTCCTAAGTTTGCTAAGCCTAAGGGCCCAGCAAATAGAGGAGCAAAGAGATTGACTAGAACACCAAAAGATAGTCCAGGTAATGATGAATCATAAAGGCAGAGACAATAGTACCGGTAATTAAGAGGGATGTCCGGAACATTGTTTAATTAGGTGTTTTTATACAACACTGAGACTTGCAACCTCATTATGCCTTAAATTGTCTTATTTTTTTTTTTTGTATCATGACGTGTGCCATCCATATTATTGTTGAATCGCTAGGAATTTACCAGCAAATTTAAATAACTTGCATTTGCTAAAAATCTGAATACCAAAGTTGTAAAATGGTTTACCATCATAGGATTTTGAGCAAGATATATTAGAGCAGTGTCACATTTGAGTTGTTACAAATATTGTTTAAGGATCTTGTAAGATGATGAGAATGTCTTAGTAGCTGCCAGATTTTGGTACGTTATGTTTTCAGGGTACAGTTGTATGGAATTTGGGCATGCTAGTAATTTTTATTATTCTTACAGTACATGATTGGATATCTTGAGTAGTTAAAATCAGGTCAAATATTTCACATGATTTTGGCAATTATTTTGTATTAATAGCTGCAGTTACTTTGGACTTTTTATTTGCGATGACACGCAATATTTCATTGATATTATTGAGAAAATCCACAGGAGCCGTGATGAGGATTCGAACCTATGCCCTGGTTGTTGTTGTTGTTGTTATAGATTCAGCTACTCGGAACAAGTTCCAAGTAGCACGGACTATGGTGAGACCGTAACTTACCTGGGACAAGAGCGGGGCAAGTAGCACGGGCTATGGTGAGCCTGTAGTGGACTTACCTGGCACAGGAGCGGTGCTATGCCCTGGGTATTCCCAGATGCATTCTCTAAAAGACTATGCCACAACATGGTCAAAATAATTGCAACCTGGGGTACTACTGCACCCACTAGGATTCCCGAGGCTTCCACTGAAGCCAAACCAGGGTTTCACACATTCCCCCCCCTCCCCATGCATTCTGGCTCTGCCAGAAAAAATCCACAGGAGCCTAGTGGTTTTCTTATTGATATATCACATTAATGTGATTACTCTGTGTATTGAAAGAGGGACATCAGAGGTGGAATTACTGGACAACGGAGCCAGAGTGCATGGGGGGAAAGTTGTGGGAAACCCTGGTTTGGCTTCAATGGAAGTAGTACCCCAGGTTGTAACTCTTTTTGACCATGTCGTGGCATAGTCGTTTAGAGTGTTGGTCTGGGAACAACCAGTGCATAGGCTCGAATCATCGTCACGGCTATTGTGGATTTTCTCATTGATATACGATAATGTGATTTCTCTGTTTATTGATATTATCATCATTATGATTATTGTTGATCATTAAACTTCTCATCGTTATTTATTATTTTTAATTATTATTATTACCTTTTAGTTTTTGTGGATGATGCATATCAATCACGGTCATTGGTGTCTTGTGCTTTTTCTTCTTGTTTTCTCCTCCTTGGTTACCCTTTATAATGTCATGCATTAATGCTGTATAGTATATCAAATATGTATTAAAATTCAAGTGCAGTTTTTTTTATTTGAATTTGACATTTTGAAATTAGTCTGCTTTTACTTGATCACTTCATCTGCATTACCTGCGAGCCATCAGGATATGGTACTACCTCTCGTTAACATTTTCAAGGGCCCTCAGTAGCCCATTATAGCTTTGATGGTACAGTATAGTTAGCAGTTTTTTCTATATCACAACTTGAATTTGATGGTTTATCTTCATGTTTTGCATGACCATAATTGAGCCAGAAATTTAGTCATTGTTCATGGACTTGACTGTACCTCATAAAACTGTTAACTGTTTTGTTAACTGTTAATTCTTTTTTGAAGAATTAAAAATCTAGCTTGACTAGCTGTTAGTCGGTTTCTTCCATCAGTTTTTTCATTGTAGCTTTTTTTTTTTAAGTTGTCTAAAATATTCCAGCATTTCCTAGATTCTAAAATATAATTTTTTTTATTTCCTGAATGACAAACCTTAAGTTGTGATTGGTAAGCCTAATTTGGAAATACTGTACCTGTACTGTATTTAGATAATTTTTTCACTAGTAATTTTAATGGGTCTGGGCTGAAATAATTTCCTATTAAATAAAGGATGTATGGTATATTGGCAAGTACAGTATATCACTGACATCATCTGCCATTATTTTGTAAATAGGCCAATGTCTATGACATATCATTTTAGTAGTCATGCAAATATTTATGCTGAAGCAGAGATAGTTATCATCAATGTGTATAATTACATAACGGCTAACTACTATACTATATTTGGTATTTTGTACAAACCACTATACATTTTTGCTCATTGATGTAAATGAGTGTGCAAGTAATTTGGGAATGTTTTAATAAAGTATAATAGTCAATCATGTTATACGGAAGTTTGTGTATGTGGTCGTCGTCGACGGTTTTACGGTGGTGTACACAATTGTTAGTAATAAGCCTCACAGGTTGTGCAACATTTATTTTCATAATACTAAAACTCCAACCAAAGATCATTAGAAGTTTCATTTTAAGGATACATTGGAGCTTAGAAGAAGAATATCTTTGTTTTATATCAAATTTTGAACATTATTTAAATAGATGTATTATTATTTTACTTCAGATTGGAAGATTTGATTTATAACTTCATTTGTTTAGATTTGCAAATTGTAAATTTTATTTTTTTACTGCAAATGCAGTTACATTAATAATGAACATGATTCCTGTTCAAGCTCCAAGTTCTTTTTCTTTTCTTTTTTCAAATTTAAAAATATATTGAAATTGCTTTCTAAGTTAAGTATGAGTTAGTGAAGCAGTCCCTTTGATAAGACTAATTTATTTATGGGGATTGTTCAAATGAGGTAATTTTACAAGTTATTGAGTACAGTACAGTAATCACTTTTCTGTTCCAGTGATAATTTTCCTGAATAGTTATATAGTAGTATTGTTCTTTTACTTCATTATAAAAAAATTATTTTTAAAAGCCTACTCAGAATAGTTGTGCTAGATTTCAGTGCATTTGTTGTAATTAAGAAAAAAGAATGAATACCAGCAGGAGCAGAGTAGTGAGGACGCACCACTGCCATTCTGTTCCTGTGTGGGGTGCAATGTTTGCCTCTGTACTGGTTACATTACTTTTTGTAACTTGTATTTACAACTGTCAGTGAACTCTTACTATGTAAGGCTACTGCAGGATACATGTTTTTGTGTAAAGTTAAATTTTTTAGTAAGGAAAAGCAATATGAAGTTTTTTGTTTGGGAAAAACTAGTTATAAAGACAAGTTTGATACACATATTGAAGAGCATTATTTGGTTGAAGTAGTGGTAGACTTGTTGATCATTTTATAAACTTAAGAATAAAAAAATTCATTACTTTTGTTTCATTTAAGATTACTCTAAAGTAACCTTCCTAAGTTAAGTCTTGGATTAATGCTATCCACTTTGTAAATTTAATTGGGTGAAAAACTTGTTCTAGAGTGATAACTAATTAGCAACTACTAAAGGAAGTTGTTTTCTTTCAAGGGCAAAAAATGTACAGTAATGAATGATAAAATTAAAATTGTGGAGCTTATTGTTATTGGTTCCCTTGTGATTGGTGGTGGAGCTGATATTAGTGGTGTGCTTGTAGCTGGTGGTGGAACTTTGTACAGAGGAAGTGAGCAAAGCACTACTTGAGAAAAGTCTAACGTAATTAGTTTTGAGCCACATGTAAAAAATGAGGCACGTTTTGGATTAATGAGCACTTGCCCATTGTTTGTGATGGTATGAATGCCACAAAGAAGGCCTTAAAATAGATGCAGGTCAGAATTACACAAATTGGTGTTAGTAAAAACTTTGTTGCTCTGAAGTATTTTGATAACTTTTTTTTCTGATTTCTGCTGGAGTACGTGTGTACGGTGGGTGTGCAGCCTGTTCTTCCTTGATTTGCTATCGGGTAAAAAAAATTCAACCCTTTGACCTAACCATAAACGTACGAACCCGAAATGCTCCGCGTATTAATGACTATATATACTGTTGTACTTCTTTTGTCAATGAATTCTTCACTGTTCATGTAACATGTACATACTCGTACATGAATAAAATATTTTTATTATTACAGTATAACATCTGGTTCAGTGCATAGAAAATATGAATACTGAAAGCAGTTACTTTTCTTAATGAGTTGCATTTATAACATCCCTAAAAAGCACAATCTATTTGTTAGGAAGACGGGTTGAAGTGTGACCTTGTTCCATCCTGCACAAGCAGTTACAGCAGTGCTGAATAAAATATAGTAGTAGTGCCTTATGTGTATTTGTTATATCTTTTTACATAATCTTGATTTTGACCATGCTATCAGTATGGGTAGTGATGGCAGGAAAGTGTAGTGCTTATAGTTGGAAAGTGCAGTGCTTGCAGTTGGGAAGTGCAATGCTTGAGGTCTGAAAGTGCAGTTATTGTGATCTGAAAGTTCAGTACAGTTTGCAGTCTGAAATTGAATTGCTAATGGTTAGAAAGTGCAGTGCTTGAGGTTGGGATGCACTATTCAACACTTTAAAATAAGGATTCAAATAGCCAGAGATGACTTAAAAGCAAAGAAGAGTAATTAACATGCTGGAGCTCTGAGTTCGTTAGGTTGACTTATTCCATATTAGACACCCAAATGACAATTTTGGATATGACAGAGGTAACAATGTTTTGGTCCGTCCTGGACCATTATCAAGTCATGAAAAAAACAGTAGTTGAGAAAGTCTTGTTTCAAGCGTTGGAAGAACGTTTAGGATGAAAGTTTTTTTTTTTATAGAGCAGCTTGAGAGAAGGGGTAATTTACCAAGGCAGGAGAAACACTTGTAAAGAAGTTAAATTTCAGAATCGAGAAACTGAGTTAATGATGTTTACGGTTCAGAGGAAAAGGGAAACGAGAATACTTTTTTTTCTCAACACATTAAGGATCAATGTGGTCAGTGGTCCATCTAATTACCCAAAGTTTCCTAGCATTACGTAAGTAATGAAGAAATAATATATATTTACTTGACTATAATGCTGGAGCTGAAGAACATGAAAAAAAAAGTTATTTTTACTCTGAAATAATATAATTTTATAATGAAATTAGACGAAACTAAGTGGCATGCGACGCTACAGGAAGTTGACGATCCAAGCGAGAATGGTGTGGCTTTTGGTGTACTCACCTAGTTGTGCTTGCTGGGGTTGCGCTCTGCTCTTTGGTCTTTAGGTAATTAGATGATATTATTTTTGAGTAAAAATATGTTTTTTTCATGTTCTACATTCAGCACCAACATTACAGT